TGGATGTGCTTCAAATATATCGAGGAATATCTTGGACTAGCTTATTTCAGGGATTATTGTAGTCAGCTTGAGTACCTGAAAAAGTTGACTATATTTTATATTTAGGGTGCGCGATAGACTTGCCTTCACGTGGTGCATCCTGGGCAACGTATACACAAACATTAAAAGTCAATTAACCTGCAGTTGACTTCACACATTGAACTACCATGACTCCACGCTATGTCATACTTCAAAAATTCTACAGTACTCGCCTTACCCTACTCACGACCCTTCTCTCGGTCTCTTTTGCATCCTTGAAACACTCTTCTGTTCCCCTCCTCTCTCTTGATTTTTTCACTTTTATGTTCCTCCCCCTCTGTAAAGCCTGATGACAACTAAAAGGCTAACGATAATTATCAAAACGCCTACCATTTAATATAAATATTTAGTGTCTTGATTGAACACAAATTAGGCTTGTACTCACCCGACTATAGACGAGGCTAGGAAAGAAGAGACAGGATGTCTTTGGAGAAACATAGAAATTAAACTACTTATCTGTCCCCGTTTATAATTCGGATCTATTTTTACGAACTTTTATCCTAATGATCTACAAATCTATCTGTTATGCTTAAAGAAGAAAAAGACTAATATTTACTCTGAATAAATTTGTAAAATAATAATCCCAAACTTACCATGCTTAAAGTAAAAAAAAAATATTATTTAATTGGTGGATTACTAATATTACATGGAAATGTGTAATTAAAGTTTCTTTTAATATTTAAATCCTGTTATTCAACAGGCAAATATAAAGAAAGATAAATCGGAATTCTTTTGTGAAAAAAAATTGTTTGCCATTATGATCAATTAGTTTCATTGATTCAGTGTACATTTGGGTCAGAGTTAGTTAGAATACTCTCCATCCTTATTATCATCTTTACCATTGCCATTATCTTCCTCGTCTTCATCGTCATCATCGTCATCATCATCCTTCTTACCATCCTCGTCATCCTCATCCTCCTCTTCTTCATCCTCTTCTTCTCCTTCATCCTCCTCAGTAAAATTCGGACATTCTTCCCCCTTCTCAATTTTGTCCACAAGTTCCTGAAGACACCAAGGTATTTTCCCAACAACTGTATGCAAGAAGATCACCATGAAAAGACAGCTGACTATCGTTCTCATGATTAAAAGCTAGTGGAAATATAAAATTCGACTTCAAACTGCAAATAACATAAATCCAATATATACCTACTGCAATGGCAGAAACTTCGTAATGTTTGCTCTCCCAATTGCAGTTTCTTTTAAAGTAAAGTTTGATTGGTCAAAATAAGCAATCAATTTCCTTAAGATAGTATAAAAGCCTAAAAATAAAAACAGGAAACACCCATAAAATAATAAAGAATGATAATTTTTTAACTATACTATAATTAAATGAATTAAAATATAAGAATTATTCAAAAACATTAAATGAGAGTTGGTGTCATTGCCGCCTTGGTACAAATTTCAGCGAATATAATAAACACCAAGTCAATGTTAGAAATTCGTTTCTAAAATAACCTTTTAAACCATCACAAATGTGAATAAAGTGTGATTATGTTTTAGAAAAAGTTTAAAAATATTTTCCCCTTTTGTTCATGATCAGGTAGAGAGATGCAGAGAGGCCACCCAATTTAAAAGTAAATATCTTTCTGAAATGAATTTAAAAGTCAGAAGATAATTTAATCACATTTGGGTGATTTTCTTGCGTCAATTGTTGATATATAATGAGAAAAAATCAAAACAATGATAAAGCCTTGTCTTGACTAAGTAGGATGCGAACATTCTGGGTAAGTGCATGGATAATCTTTAACAGGAACATGTGAACTCTCTAGCCACGTACATCTGCAAATTTCTATTTATCAAAACGTAGGGTGCGCGATAGACTTACCTCTACGTGGTGCACCCTTTGCAACGTATACTCATACAGCAAAAATGTCTATTACCTGGCAGTTGACTTCAAACTACCATGACCCCACTGTATGTCATATTCGACTACTTTCACAGTACTCATCCCACCTTTTTTCCACCTTATCTACCTTCGTCTTTGNGAGTAATAAAAGGCACTAGATTCATTAAGAGACTATTACTTTCTGCTCCAATGGTTCTGCTTCTAACTCAGTTTTCAATTTAATTAAGTTATAATTTATCGATTTATTGCTAGACACGCTTTTGGAAAAGCATATGGATCAATATGATTCAAAGGGCAGTAAGAAGTGGCAACCAAAAGATCTTGGGTGTGCGATAGACTCACCTCCACATGGTGCACCCTGGGCAACTTATACTCATACGGCAAAAAGTCTATTAACCGGCATTTGACTTCTGACTTCAAACTACCACGACCCCCCTGGTTGTCATATTCGACCCCTTTCACAGTACTCACCTGACCTTTTTCTCTACGTTTGTGTCTGTCTGCCTCTTTACATCTGTGAATCGCTCCTTTGTTCCCCACCCCTCGACTTTCTGCTACTTTGATAAACCTTCCCTCTGTGAAGCTCGAAGTCAGCTAAATGGCTAATGATATCTATCAAAACGCCTGCCATTTGAAATAAATAAATAAATAGATCTTGGAAAATCCAAACGTGGTCTCTCAACGATTCAATAGCGAAGATTGAAAAAAATATTAACTGCAGACAAAATATGAATTTTGTGAAATTCTCACCTTATTTGATCTAATAGAGTGCCTAGATGGTAACCATGATGGTGTTTGTTCGTACATTAATTATTTCATCTCAGATAATTGAGTACAGAGGAAGAGAATTGCGATATTTACGTCATTTCCATCGTTGAAGCGCCTTCAATATAACGAATCCACTTTTCTCTTATAGATCCTTCAAATTACTGAAGTGAAATTGATAGGACCTTACATTCAAAATCAAAATCGATTGCAATTTTATTGGGCTGCCTTCACTTTCAAATAGTCCTTTTTTAAATGCACTCAATTTCGACCGATTGTTTCTTGCAACAATATATTTCTCTCATTTATTCTTTCAAATACTTTCTATATGCTTTTAAAATGAGACAGACATTTAACAATCAAGGGAGAACAGATATGACAAGTGTTGAGACTTCGCTTCTATTTACTTTTCATTCAGGTTGAATATTATTGCAGTAGAATATATCAATATTTAGTTATATATCTCTTCACCTCTCCCCCCTCTCTTATTTGAAGAACATATTAACATTTATGAAAACTCAAGTTAGAAAAGGGGTGAGATCTACTTACACGCAACTAGTCCAATGATCTTTATTTAAGTAGTACTTATTAAATACAAACAAAAGGGATATTAATTCACCCACTAGCTTAAGGGATATTTTAAATTCAGAATGCTATAAAATGATACATTTTTACTTATACAAAATCAGTCATTTTAATTTGGAAATGTCACTATTTTAAGAAAATTTTATTACTTTTTTGCCTTCATAGTTAAATGAATGCGCAAATATTATATTCCGAAGTAGCTTATTTGATTGTTTTTTCTTAAACACAAAAACCCTTCCTAAAGAACTGAAATTGTTACATTTTCAGAAATTATTAAGACTAAGTAAATAGATTTCAACTGAAAGTCAATTTACTTTCACGAAATTTCACTGTCGAATTTGCTTCAAGTATTTCTAATTAACATGTCTGCTAGCTTATTTTGGAAAAAAGACTGTTTGTAGAGCCGTAAATGGAAAAAAAAGGGTATAATTTATTTCATTTTCTTCAAAATAATTAGATTTAACATTGGCAAAAAGGAATAGCTTAGTTATTTGACTGTTGAATATCAAATGCAATTTGAAATAAAGGCAATTTCATACTTTCGCAAAGGTCAACGAAGGAGTATTTTATCTTAATTAGGCTTAGACGAAATCACAAAAAAACTCAATCTTTTGACAATTGGCATATATTTGATCAGCTTAATAAAATATAATCTAAATGCAAATGCATAACGTTAAAATAAAAATCTCATTAAAAATTATAATTCTTAGGAATTCAAGGTCATATACATCTCAAATTATCGAAATTATTGATTCGTAATTCATCGATTGCCGATCATGTTCAATACATCCTCATTACCACTGTAACTCATGACTTCTTTTTGTATTCCTTTCTCAATTTCGTTATGGGATAATCACTTGTAATAACGGCAACGTGTATAACTGCTGACACCTTAGACAAGTCATTCTGTCTTCACCGATCATTTATTTCTTCATAAGAAACTCCCTTTGTGTCCTCAGAATTTGTTAACTAGACCTTGACGGATGCAAAAGCTACATTTTCAATCATTGGAGCACTTTAATGCGGACCTGCCAACAACGAAATGGGTTTTGACCAACATTGACATCCATTAAGCCAGCTTTGCTCGAGTAATTCTGACATAAGCCATGGCTGGTTGTACTCTTAGAAGGATTTCTCGCATAAACATGGCCAACGTGGTTGGATATATCAATAACTTTACACTAACATACCGATGGCTTCCATCATTTCTGCCTCTTTATCATAAATCCTGATGTCAATTCTATTGCCCACTCTCTCTCCCCCCCTTCCTTCACTTCAATCTATAATTTCCTCCTTGTAAATATATTTTGACAAGTCTTTAGGTTGGGTTTACTCTATGCAGCGCAGGTAAAGAGCGGCTCTGTGTGTTTAAACTTCAATGAATTAAACTGTTACACTATACTCGACTTAATTTTAAACATTAAAGCTTTTGGAAAAATTTGCCATTTAGAGTGAAATTTGCCTTTCTATTACTCTGAGAGCAGAAGATTACATTTATTTTGTGAAAATAAACATCCCTTTGATTTAAAATTCTTGTTGCCATTAACTGAAATGCAATGAGAGGCTTGTTCACTACTTTATAAATTGATTTAAGTTAAAAGAAAATCAGTGTGTTCAGGGATTTAATTGCTATAACTGATTCAAACATGCTATTTGTAAGTCATCTTTACCCAGACAGTATAATGATTCATATGCAGAGTGTTAACATTTACCCACAAAATCACATTCACTTACCAGCCCAGAGAAGGGTGAAAATAACAACAATTTGGTAAAGAGCTTGTCCAATAATAAATTTCATCATATTTCGACTGATGAGAGGTTTGGTGCGTCCATAAGGAGCTCTTTCCAGGAGTTCCTCAGAAGGTAGATCTGTTGCGAGAGCCAAAGATGCAAGAGTATCCATAATCAAATTCACCCAGAGCATTTGAACAGCCTTCAAGGGACTATCCTAGAATATATTAAAACGAAGGACAATTATAAAGTCTGGATAATGCTTAATTTAACTATTTTTCAACAACACACAGATAATTTGACGTGCTGGGTAGTTGTCATCAATGCTGTGAAATTATTAGTTTCAACATTAGTACACCTTTGATAAATTAAGAAATATTTCAATTTCACTGAAAACCAATTACCAAAGTTGGCTTGTTAAATCAATAAATATTTTTTGAAAAAAAATTGCTTAAACATAAACGAGTAGCAGATAATGCTTCAACTTTTACTAAGAGTATCAAAGTCTATATATATAGATGTTTGTTCATAATGCGCTCATAAACTTGAAATGAACACAGTTAATAACCTATGTAGCCGAAACTCACAGTAGGCATCTACCAGAATTTCTTCTTCACTTCCGCCATTTAGAGTTGTTTAGATGGTTTCTAATTTGATTTTAATATGTCATCAAAACTCTTTCTGATTTTTAGATATTAGATCAAAGTCTAGAATTGACAGAATTGGATTATAACAGTCAACCGAAAAAAGAACATTCGATTACGTGCTACATCAAAATCAAATGACCGTAATAATAATTTCGCAGAAGGTCAAATTGCAGTAGCAAATGAACCCGAAAAGCCTCGAAGAAGCTTGGTCGGCGTCTGGAAGATGAGAAAAAGCCAAAAAAACAATTCTAATAACTAAAGCCTCAGGACTCGTATGGGCCAACTGACACTTGAAAATGGCACTCTGGGGACTCGAGAGAGTATGGGAAAAGGAGGAATAGAGAAGGTGAGATGGAAGTGAAAGAGGATCTTGCTGGAAAGCGCATGTCTTCGTGGTTTTCTCTTTGTGTGTGTGTGTGTGTGTGTGTGTGTATGTGGGTGGAACTACAAAGTCCTTATATGAGTCACGTGCGCGTATGAACGCAGTGTATCTTTAAATGGAATGGGAGAGTTAAGGGGAAAACAATTGATTTGGCGGTCTTTATAAGAGTAATTCTCATGAAAAATGTCAAACAAGAGTATTTTTTCGAAATGCGCAAATTCATCCTTCAGACTACTTATTCCAGCGTAACTAATGTCAGTCGTTATTAAGGGATTAATTAAGCTTTCAACAAAACAAAACACGTTGACATTTAATTTACGATAAGTCGAATTCCAGATAAATTCGTAATTTATGCAAAAAAATTACAAATGCACTTTCTCCTAATAAAAATCTGAACTGAAAGTAAGTAGCGGCTTTCCTATTTTGGGGAGGGTTTTGAATCCTCAATAAATTACTACCGAAAATCCGACCTTTTTAAAGTGCTCTCTGAACGTGATTACTGAGCCATTTTATATTAACGATCTTTTTTGGCTGTCAAATCAAGGCTGAGAAAATTCAGAAAATTTTTTTCTTTGGTTCTATAAATGATTCATTATTACAATTTATTTACTATTTTTGTTAAATCAAAGTATTTTAGTTAATTGACATAAATTGTGGTGTATCCTTTAGCGCGCATCCAGAAATTGCCGCCACATGTCAATGTGAGATTTTGTTATCTAGGCATCATCATTTTTTGTTCAAGCTAGAAAATTTAAGTTTTAGTAGTATTTAAAGTTTTAATTTAAATATTTTTATTAGTATTTACGCATGCGTCAAAGCGGCTTTACGAAATTTGAATAGAAATAAAATGGGTTTTAATTTATGCAAAACTTGCCATGGAGAAATAGGTCTTTAATGTTTTTAAAAGAATTAAAATTAGTAAGCTACTTTAAATCCCTATTGCGGTAGGTTAAGATAAGTTTTTACATTTAAAACAGAAAAAATAATCGGAAAAGAGCAATAATTTATGCTTCAATAATGCTTTTAACTTACTGTAATAATACAGGCTCCAACAAATGCGACAATTACAGCCACAACATTGACTGTCAGTTGGAATTGAAGAAATTTTGCAATAGAATCGTAGACATTTCGACCCCACATGACCGCCTTGACAATACTACTAAAATTGTCATCTGTTAGGATGATATCAGATGCCTCCTTGGCTACATCCGTTCCCGCCAAACCCATTGCGAAACCAACGTCAGCTCGTTTCAATGCTGGTCCATCGTTAGTTCCATCGCCAGTTACTGCCACGACCTCTCTATTCGGTCGAAGGTGACTGCAAATAATTCCATTCACTAGAATATATTTATCCTGAGGCGAGGATCGAGCGAGAACGCGCAGACGAGGCCATACCTATAAATACGTTAAATGAAAATATAAATTCTTTTGAATATTGGAGGAATACATAATTATTTTTTAAAAACGTTGACAAGTTTTGAATTATGTATAGAAAATTATCTGCTGGTAATTGAGATTTTAAAGGGCTTTTTGATGAACTTGAATTCAAGTAAAGGGGACGCACTTTAACAAATATATATATTTTTTCTTTAAATATAGCTTTCCACTAACTATTATTACATTAATGATTCAGTTTAATTTATTTACCTGAAAAAGTTAATATGCACAAAGTAGTCTTAGAACTCAACGACATGATAATTGGACTAAATTCAGATGTTCAAAGCTAAAAACAAATCCTTAAGGGATGATACGTGTCCCTCATAGATGGTATTTCGAGATTATTTAGCATAAGCTACAAAACGAGCAATTAGAAAGTACAGTTCTCCTTCAAGATTTTGCATGCATGCATGGCAATCGACCTACGAGGGAGATTGTGAAGCAGACCGTGGAGGCTTTGATCATAAAAGTGGGCGAAAAAGGTCTGTATCAAGGCTGCAAAGAAGTTCTGCCCAAATTTCGTTCCCTCTAATTTTATGTTGGAGTCACAACCTGTACTCGAAAAAGTGTGTGCGAATATACACTTTTTCATGTCTCCTTTCTAAAGACAATTAGTAAGTGCATTACTCGACTTTTAAGATTGGAATTCACATCCCAATTACTCTTGGCAATTGAGATTATGGAAGGGATACCAGTCGGCAGAAGAAAAAGACTCTTAATTGATAATCAGCAAGCATACTGAACATAGAAACATTCTAGCGAGTACAAATTGCCTTCATGTCAATACTTTCCTGCTTCTTTCCTTATTTCTTATTAATAAGGACACAGCGAAGTGTTGTTTCACCAGCAAGATGGCTTTAGCTAAAAGTGTTTATCAAAAATAACAAAAGAGAACTTTTAGTCACATGGATAGTATAGCAAATATTTTCTCTCCCAGTAGTCAATCGGTGCAAATAGAAGAAATATGATATATATATATATAACAATGTTACTAGTTCTAAATCATAATATATCCAGAGACATTAAATTGATTAGGTAACTGTAGAATTTTTCAATGTTAGTTTAATCTAGTCTTCAATTGATCTGATAGTTTTAATGTGTTGGCAAAACGATCTGAGTAAATTCTGGTAGACATGCTTTAGTAGCTCATAGGCCATGCTAATTAACTAGATAGAAAGCAAACATTTGGATTTACTAAATTTAATTCACCTAGGAAGTATTGGATAAATTCTGAAATTTGAGCATTGAAACATTAGTGACACAGAGCTGAGGAATGTGTCAAAAATTCAATTAAATGACTCCATTCATACATTAAATATATGTGATTACTTCTATTTATTCTGCACTAAGTACTATAATGTGGAGTGATCCCGTACGCGTAGACAACAAGTAATCTTCAGTGACATTTTTAATGAGAATGCGTAGAATTCAGGGTTTAGGACTCTATGACTCAAATCTTTATCACTCCTGGGAAGGCCACCAGTTCGGTTGTCCTTTTAATTAACTCTCCCATTTCATTTAAATGCGCGCTGCGTTCACTCACATCTCATTCGTGGCCTTGCTCAAATGAGCCCTCACAGGACTTGATAACTCCATTCACGCTGACATTCGCTTTCCTCTCAGCTCCTCCACTTCTCCTTTTTAACTACTCCGTTGAGCCCACATGGTGGGATTCTCCAGAGTTCATTGATCCACACAACTCCTGAAGCTTTAGGTATTCAAATCGTTATTTTTAGTTTAGTCATCTGCTAGACGCTAACGTAGCTTCTTCGAGGCGTTTCTGATTCGACCGTCTCTTCGCGATATTTGAACTATTTGCTTTTCTTTCATTAAAATGCTTCTTTTATGACGATCAAAATTGGGATTTAAGTTTTCCTTTTACTGATAACGCAATAATAATCATTGTAAAAACGGAATTTAAAAAATAAAAGATCGATTAATATTCTTTTCAAAAAGATATAAAGAGTAATAGAATTAATTGCTTTGTTTAAATTAGTTTATTAATGAATAATTAAGATAAATACTATATTGTAATAAAGACTATTGTCCCTTATTTCTCTTAATGTTTCCTATTTTTGGAACGTTTCATCTTTTAAAGATCTATTTGTGTCCGTAGCAGATCGAATGAACCTTAATACCTGGCTAACTGAGAAGTCCTCTGTGTGCACGCCTGCACCCTCCAGAATGTTCAATTTAAGCGTGTTAGGTTAGTGCATTAATAATATTACTGAGAATTTATAGCTCACTTTCTTTAAATTATGTTTTGAAGTAATGGGATATGCGATAGACTTACCTCCACGTGGTGCACCCTGGGCAACGTATACTCATACGGCAAAATGTCTATCAATCGGTAGTTGACTTCTAACTTCAAACTACCATCACCCCACTGTATGTCATATTCGACCACTTCCATAGTACTCACCTCACCTTTTTTCTACCTTTGTGATGTTCCTTCCCCTTCGTGAAGCATAAAGCCAACTAAAGGGCTAATGATAACTATCAAACCACCTGCCATTTGATATAAATAAGTGTTTTGAAGTAAGGACACACACCAGGTATCACTATAATATTACAATTACAGTAGATAAAGCAACTGTTAAAACCTTTCTAAGTTAATAAAACAAA